ATGGTCTATTGTTTCCTCTGCAACGGGTAAGATAAACAGGAAAATAAAAGTGAATGAAAATAAAGGTGGGGGAGGGGGGGCGTTTGCAAGGCTTTCAATCATTCTATGATGCAGAGGTGTTGCAACGATGATTGATCTTTGCCGTTTGAAGTCGGTGATCTTTCATGCAAATTGAGCAAAGGCTTTCCGAGTAATTTATGACACGGAAGTATTTCTGGTGGAGAAGACATTCCATACAATTTGAAATTAGGAATGACAGTTATAACAATAAAGCCGATAGCAATGACCATGACAATAACGATAATGATGATAATTAAAACAATAAAAAATACTCTATCCGAAATGAATCCAGCATTCCTACTCTCTATAATAAACGCATAACCGAAGACTATAAACCACAAAATACTGAGGATTAACGAATACCTCGTTTGTTTTTTCTTCTTTTTTCATTTTCTCAGGCCCCAACGCCTCCAAGGAAACGGAAAGGGAGGCGGAGGAAGAGGAGCCAGGAATGTGACATTGCTCGCCTCCTCCGTGCATGATCTCTGGAGGTAGTTTACGCATGAGCAATTACGGGGTCTGTTTCGTTGTTCTTGTATTTCTTGATTTTTCTGCTTCCTCTTCTTCTTCTTCTTCTAATTCTGGTAATGTTTCTTCTGTGATTCTTTTTTTTCTTTTCTTTTCTTTTCTTTTATCATCTGTTTCACTTAGTCTACTTTTATTTTTTTTCTTCGTCTGTTTTTCTTATTTTGTATTTCTTTTTTCTTTTTCTTCTTCTTCCTCGCCTTTTGTGGTTCTTCTTCTCCATCTGCTTTTAGTCTCCTCCTCCTCCTCCTCCTTCTTCTTCTTCTTTTCTTCTTATTTTGTATTTCTTTTTTCTTTTTCTTCTTCTTCCTCGCCTTTTGTGGTTCTTCTTCTCCATCTGCTTTTAGTCTCCTCCTCCTCCTCCTCCTCCTTCTTCTTCTTTTCTTCTTCTTCTTGTGCTTAACATTAAGAATATTTAATTTTATCTGTATTTCCTTTTTAAAAGAAGACGGTCCGGCTAGACTCTTTTTTATCAGTTAATGCAACTCGTCGTACCTAATATCACTTCCAACAATAAGAATAAAGATGTAAATACAATAGAAGTGAATTCTTGAATCAGTGTTGAAAATGAGTCAGTATTAACAATCCTACAGGACATTCAGCACAATAAATTTCTTGGTATTTCCCATTTCACTACTATTGCTTATAACTCGCACACACACACACACACACACACGCACACACACACACACACACACACACACACACACACACACACACACACACACACACACACACACACACACACACACACACATTATCTGCAGAATAGTATTTTCAAATTTCGATTATCTGAAAGGAAGGGGTTATGTTACATGTTATAACCATGATTTAAAGTTTAACCAGAAATATCATCTACGACAACCAGTACTTTTTTTGTAAAATAACAATCGTGCATTCAACAAATACAAAAATGTACCGCCACTACTCAGATCTATCACGCTTTAAGTCAAGATTCTTCAAGTCATACCTTCAACATGTCGACTTCGCTGGAGAGTAAACAAACCAGGACTGACGAACACGTGCGTGATCCACTTCTTATATACCTTCAAGGCGGCACGCTTTCGGTACTGCGATATTGCCATCAGGAGGGCATCGCATTTACCTTTGCTGGTTGGAACGCAGGTTATTGCTACACATGATTTACATAAGTGATGATAAATCTGTAGAAGAGGATGTGTTATTAAACCTTTTATGAGACGGGAAAGGACTGAGATTGGAATCACGAATTGGGATGATGAGAGCTTGTGTGTAATTGAAATACATTTGTTCTTCAGTAATATGCAGACCTTTGCTAAGTACAATGTGTACTTTCATTTTCACTAAATGTGTAAATGTTCTGGCAGAATTTAGTAGTTCATAGTTTTTTGTATTTTAATCATGTTGTACATTATATATTATGTAGTTTTTAAAACAAACAACTTTTAATGGTTAAGGTAACCGTGATGTTAGTGATATTAATAACAATACTAATAGTAGTAGTAGTAGTAGTAGTAGTAGTAGCAGCAGGGGTGAGATGGAGAAAGAAGAAGAGAAGAAGGAGGAGGAGTACGAATACAAATAGTAATAATAGTATTAAGATTAAAAAGACTATGATAACATCAGGAAAAAACGACATTATCAAAGACTGAATCTTGACCCTCTCACTGAAGGATAAAAAAAATATATATATATACTACCGGAGAATCCCAGGCGTGATTTCAACGCTTCTAAGTAATCATCAAAACCAATCCTGAAACTCAAATAAGGCGATTACTTTTCACTTATCAAAATTTTGAAAATTCTGGTGAGATTGTTAGTGATAAAATGCAAAAACCCAGAGGAGGGCAATATTATTAATATTAATGATATAAAGGTATAAATGTGAATCAAGATCATGTTAATGATAGTAAGGATAATAAATAGAGTGACAAAGGAAAATAGTGGGAGTCCCTAGTCTTTGTACAATACATGCAAGAATTTGTTTAATTAAAATGAGTATATAGATTTTTAAACTGAGTAGAAAAATACACGCCCTCATCATTATAATTTAATGCAGTTGTAATGCTACTAGAAAATTTTCATATAATGCAAATAATGACAGCGGCGAGAAAAGTAGGTTAATGAAAGTGATATCATTACGATAGACTTAATTATTATGGATAACGAAAGCAATTACAATAACGATATTTGTAATCATAAAGACAATAAAAGTGACAATACTACGATTACTTAATGGCTGTGTTACTGTTACTAATGTAAAGGTGGTAACGTCAGTGCTATCGAATAATATTACTATATTTAATTGCCATGATTAACATAATGAATATTATAATTTTTCCCCATTGCCATTTTTTGACATCTCTGGCATTCTGATTATCCTGTTCTCTTTATTTTAAATATTCTTATCATTGCTAATTATCATTACAATCATCGTTATCTTTTCTACTATTAGTATCGTTGTCAGTATTGCTAGTACCATTATACTACTATCACTAAGGTTTATTCCTGACTGCATTGATAGTTTTTTTTTAACTTCTTATCATGATAATGAACACCAATACCTATTATTAATATCAACAACACTATTTTCATCATTGCAATTATAATCATAAGCCATTAAGTTTCCTGTTGATGTTTAGATATCTGTGTTATTGTTTTTATTCTTTTGTTCTTTTACTGATCACCATCTTTATCATCATTTCATTATTCTTATCGTCATCATCATCATCAGTCCGATATTATATATATATTTTTTTACAATCATTAAAAGATTTACAGAGATCATTTGCAATCTATCAGCAACTTGCATCAATCCTGTTATTAATGCGTACAATATGAATCCTCTTTCTCATCAACACATCAATACTATATCCGGCTTGAAAATACCATTATCATCTATCGTTTAATTAAATTCACTGTTATTATCACACCATTCCCCCCAAAAGTTAGAAATTTGTTCATGTTATTCCCTCTGTGTGCACAATGTCCATAGTACTATGATGATATTTCGTGACTACATGTGATATTGAACAACACGTGTTCTCTCTGTAATTAGCTGCTTACTACGTCAATAACAGATGTAAAAAAAAAAGAAAAAGAAATCGAGTTTTATTATCAATGCACCTATATCACTTTACATTAATAAATGACACGGTGTATCATGTTGCATTGCTAATAATACATAAGTATCCCATCCACATACTTTCATAATCTGTATCATTTCCAATCGCGAAGGGATGATTATTTATCACGTATAGTGTATCCTCACCAACATGAAAACAGCAATATCTTATATCAATATCATTTCCCATCTAGAAATGATACCATGTGTCATGTACAATTGTCATCTATAGTCCCTTACAGTCATCACTTCCTATCCAAAAGTGACGCCATATATCACGTATCACATATCCTCATTGCCATCAATACATCACAATCCCATCCACAAACACTCCTGATCAACATTATTTCCCATCTAAAAAAAAAAAAAAGATAAATAAAACAAATAAAAAATAAATAAAAAATAAAACACGTATCACTTTCCCCAATGCATCGTCATCCAATACCACAGATTCTCATAACCAATTTCCCACCCATCGCGTATCATGCACCACGTATCACATAAATCAGCATCCCGTCTATTGATCCTCATAATCACGATCATATATCGCAGCGTCGCGTGGCCTTGAGCTCCAGCCGAGCGGATCCCGAGTCGCAGATACACCCACCTCGCTGATGGTCCCGGGAGCGTCACGGAGAGAAAGAGAGAGTGGAGAAGGGGGGGAGAAGAAGAAGGGAGAGAAAGAGGGAGTGGAGAAGGGGGAGAGAAGAAGGGGGGAAGGAAGATGGCGATGAAAGAGAGAGTGGAGAAGGGGGGGGGGGAGAAGAAGAGGGGAAGGAAGATGGCGATGAAAGAGAGAGTGGAGAAGGGGGAGAGAAGAAGGGGGGGGGGGAAGATGGCGATGAAAGAGAGAGTGGAAAAGGGGGAGGGAAAAGGGGGGAGAAGGGAGGTGGCGATGGAAGAGGGAGTTGAGAAAGGGATGATAAGAAGAGGAGAAGGAAGATGGCGATGAAAGAGAGAGCGGAGAAAGAGGAGAGAAGAAGAAGGGGGGACGGGAGATGGCGATGAAAGAGAGAGTGGAGAAGAGGGAGAGAAGGGGGAGAAGGGAGATGGCGATGAAAGAGAGAGTGGAGAAGGGGGAGAGAAGAAGAAGGAGAGGATGGCGACGAATGAATGGGTAAAGGAAGTCCTCTAAGACGAAAAACGTAAGAGAAAAAATATAAAGGAATCTTGTAAAATATACCAAGCATACTTGTTTATTCAGGGAAATGCTAATCAGGTGTTAATATTGAAAACGACTTCCTTGTTTTCTTTTAAATCATCTCATCTTCGGTGCGTAAATGCAAACAAGATGTTATTCGTTTTCACATGC